CTTTGAGGCAGATAAGGTTGTTGCGGTGCAAACAGGAAGATATGAGTTTTAGTACATATAGACCAACTCAGCTCTTTGACGTCACATCACTGCGGTGGCGCTGCTGTCGGCACTGCGCATGCGCAGCGCCTTGCTTCTCCCGGATCTGGTTCCTGCACACGCGCTGTGTGGGCAAACGAGGGCTTGTTTTGTAAACACTGTGCTGGTGTATACGGTAACTAAAATGAGCACGAATTACTGCCTCAAGGTATTCAAAAGCAATGTCAAAGTAATTTCGAAGTAATTTTATTACTTTTGGAAAGTAATTGTAAGGTAATGTCATTACCTTTAGTCTGCGGTAATTTGTAATGTATTTAATTACATTTTTGCAGTTTCCAGAAAAGTCATTAATAATGTAATTTAATTACTTTTAGAAAGTAATTTTTCCATCTCTGAAGCAGACGACTTGCTCTCCACATAGCGTGGCTCTCGTGAGACGCTTCGAGACGCGCTGCTGGCGATGCCGACGCAAGCTATAGGCGGCGCTAATCCACTGATAACCCTGTTCTTCTAAATGCTCCAACACTTACTCCAGCGCCGAGCTCGACAAGACCGTAGCGCCGCCGTTTCTGCCGCAGCGGCCGTTCCGGGAACGCCGTAACAAAGAAGAAACTTTTGCTGATTCCCCTTCTCTCAAGAACAAATTATCTACCGCTAACTAGCCAACGAGCTACAAACGAACTAACGAAACGAACCGACCGCCAAGGGGAGGCGCTGTAATCGCATCGGGGTCGCAGTGGCTCGGTTTCAGTGGATGCGAGGGTTCCTAGTTCATTTGGTAACGTTAGCTCTATATGGACTCCAACCACGCGATATCTCGAGACTGAGCAGTATTTGTCGATTTCGTGCTTATTTGTTTTTATCTTTTTTTTTTTTTTACACGGGCTTTATTTTTTACTTTTTATGTCACTGAAGTGTGAGGCCGACGTACATTTTGCGCTTCCCGCTTTTTATCGTCTCTTACTTTCCGATCAGGGCTCCCGTCGTAGTTTTCGAGATGTGTGTGCTAAGAAGATCATCTTCCCTACAAAAAAAAAAAAAAAAAAAACGAGATTATTTGTCGACCTTTGAGCGTGGCTCCCTTTAGCTGCAAATCCCGGATTAGCTAGAAGTAGGCAATTTGTCAGGTCGTAATGGGCCTCAGTTTTCGGTAGCTCCTAACCCACCACCTTCTTTTTAAGTGCGGAAATATATCTAGAAATGAATCAATAACAAAAATAATTACTGCGCTTCAGTTCCGGCTAAGGACTTACAAAAAAGCGGGCTTTTCAAACTCCTTTTGAGGTATGAAGAACTTAATGAAGCTTGTATGTTAATTTTGTTACCAGATTTTGTTTTGACCTAAAATTCGTTCAAGGCGAAGATGCAATAAATTGTGCGGCCCCAGTGCGGAGGACGCAAAGAATGTTCAAGGGCTTGCTACAGCTGAACCGCAATAACAGGCTTTCATGGGAAGTGTGTTCGGAAAAGCTTTTGGAGCATTGACGAAAGGTTAAAAGCGCACACGAGACGAGGACAAGTAGAAAACACGAACGACATGAAGAGGCACTCACTGACTTTTAACTGATTTACTCCAAGGCCATCTATACATACATACACTCACTGCCTACATACGTCGATAACCACTCGACACTTTATCTCTTGATATAATAAACAGAGTGCGTTGCGTGAGCACGCCCTCCACCTGTTTACTAACGTGATACGTTATTTGGCTAGGTGTTCAGCATTTCGCGAGGCCCAGATGAAAGAATGGCCGCGAGGCTTGACACTGGTCGGTTTTGAGTGGGGGAGGGGTGGGGAGGGGAAAGGGGAAAGGGGAGAGGCTGTTGCAGTAAAAAAGTGTTTGCGCAAGTCAGGAACCAAACCCAGATAGCAACGTGATACCCTGTTACACGTTTTCACGTGAAACGTCCTTTGACCAGGTATTCGGCATTTTCGTGAAGCCCAGATAAAACCGTGACCGCGAGGCTTAACATTGATTGGTTGGCGGGTGCAAGGGGAGACGTAAAGTGCTCGACGCTAATTGGTTAACGGGGAGGTCACGTGACCGGAGGGGTACGCGAGGAGGAGCTCGACGACCGGTGCACACTGAGAGAGAGGAGCTGGAGAGTAAGGAAGGCTCTGGAAGATCGCCAGGTTCGTCAGCTCGATTAGCGATAGTATCGCTTCATTCTGGGAACAACTATCAAGTGTACACCTGGTACGGGTTAAATCACCTGAGGAAGAGCGCCCTACACGTAGGCGTCTGGCGACTGGAAACTCAGAGTATCGCTGAACGTTTGTGATGCCAGAATGTTTAACGTGTGCAACGCAATTACCAAACTATTTGTCATACATTTTTACATAAAGAAATTACGAGCTTGAACTGTTTTGTGTAAAGTGTTGAGTGGTTATTAACGTTAGTATTTTTTTATTAATACTGTTCACGTTTTTTCAGGGCGGTTACAGGAGTGGAAAGAAAATAACATACCAGTAAATTTCTCAATGAATAAGAAAATATATAGTGCAATCGTATATCTGTTTGGATGGCCTTGAAATGAATCAGTTGAAAGTCAGGGCCTGTCTATGTTATTCTTTTTTACTTGTCCTCGTCTGTTTCGCGCTTTTAGGCCTTTTACCGTTACGAACTAGCTACCCTAAACCAAATTTTTAATCGTGAAGTAAGTCAACGATGGCAATACAAGCACTTTGATTGGCGTGTTTTCATAGGCGTCATATCGTCCGCTCTACGGGTGGTGGAAGGGGGGGGGGCCGGGGAGGAGGGGAGAGGAAGGGGGTGTGAAGCCTTGTGTAACCGCGCTTCAGTGGTTCATGTGCTAGCCTTCAACGGCACCCAGACTTCTTTACCCGATAAGCGTAGGCAAATCTAGGAAATGGATAAATGGTGTCAATCATTGCGACATATGCTTACCAAAGCTTTTCTCCCCTCCCCGTAAACCAGACGTCTAAACGTCTGGTTTACGGGGGATTAACCAGTCATTACGCTTATGAAAGCGCGGCAATCAGAGTGCCGGAATTGTTCTGTTGACTCACTTCACAAGCCTTTCCGAACGCACTTCCGGAAAAGTCAATGGGCGCGTTAACTCCGTGCTCCGGAGCGCGAGAGTTTGGCGCTCCTTTCACTAAACGGACAGGAGTGCCACCGGGGACTGACACTCGAGCGCGCTCTTCGTGCACCAAGAATTTTTCGGAGCGCGAGTGACTTCTTCGCGCTCCGTGACGTCACGTAAACAAACAAGATGGCTGCGCTGCTCCTGCGACCGTCGAGACAAAAAGGCGTAGGCGGACCGCTGCCCCTTTTCAGTTGATTAGTGCTTAATCCAGCAGGTAAAAACGATATGATTTGAAAGCCAATACAGCAATTAGCGTTCCGAAAAAGGTTTGTTCGTTCATCTCGCCTGAAAAAGAAATTAATCTATCAAACGGTACGGTGACGATAGCACAGCGACAGAAAAGTCATCAAGATGCGAAGACATTCGGACCGCTCTGTCCCTTTTATAATACTTAGCCCAGCGAATAAAGATACTTCGATTTGAAAGCCGAAACTTCAGCGAGCGTCGATGAAAAGGTTTGTTCGTGCGTCTTGCCTAAAAACGAATTGATCTATCGAACGAGCGTGAAAAGTGATGAAAAGACAGTCAGACGGCTGCCCTGCTTAGAATGCTTAGCCCGGCCGCAGCGAATAAAGATACTTGCATAGATTGGAAAGCCGAAACACCACTTAGCGTTGCGGGAAAAGCTTGTTCATGTATACCGCCTAAAAACGAATTGACGTGCAATCGAACGACGGTGTGCCGGTATCAGCGTAGCTTCCGTCTCGCTGCGAGACGGAACCGACGGAACCAGAAAATCTGATAAATTTGAGGGTCTTCCTGCGTCGACGAGCGGGTTCAAGAATATTGTCTTTAAATCGGAACAGCATGCATGGTCAATAAATAGATCAACCAAGGTAACCTTCCACATATGTGCACGAAGCGAGTCTTCAAACCTTTCAGGAATATTAAAACGTTCGTAGAAACTTCATAACGTTGCCGTCTCTTTGGCTTTAGACTCTGCCGCTCCACACGGGCCTAATTATTTATCTTCGAAATATTTTAGGCTTCTGCCACCCGTATCCACGGTTGGGAGGAGCTCGTGTGGGCCGTGGCCCGTCGATAGTTTCTGGCCGTGTTCCAAAACTTACTCGATCCAACTCTAGGGTAAAGGTGGTTATCGAATACCTACCCCCGCCAACGGTTCTCTATTTTTGTTGTCACGTGACCTAAAACGCCAGGGTAACTCGGATCCATTTGAGTAGGCTTGGAACGCAGCCTCGGTGTGTCGCGCTCCTGTACGATATGCGCCGTTTAGTTGCTGCGCTCGGAGTATGAAACTCGGAGTGTCGGAGTAGGAGTAAAGGAGCGCCGACTTAACGCGCCCAATGTGCATCGACCCGTCTTCCTCGTCCGACTTGCTGCCTTTCGGGGATGTGATGCACATGTGAAAATAGACTCTTGCTCAAATTGACGTATCATGCGTGTTGAAATCACTGACGAGCAATAGACGTGAAACTAGGGGGGTTCGGTGGCGTACGTGTGAGCGTACTGCAGCTCGGGGCACGTGGAGCGAAAACTCACGCTGTAGAACCCAGGGATCCTGGACTCAATATACCCGCCCCTTCCCGTTTCGATCTGAATGAGCATCGTATCGGCGTGCGGCCGTAAGTCACGACCGCGCGACTCATGCTAAGAACCCAGGCTAGCGGTTGTACTGCGCTGGCGAAATGTCTCCATCGGAAACACAAAACGCCCACTGGGGCTTACTTCCCGCCGTCTAAACATAAACGCGATTTACGCGAAACCGCGAAGAACTAATCTTCGCCCCTTCTCACTGGGAAATTCGTTGGACCAAAGAATAATGATGATGATTGATGGTGTATTGACGTGCGTTTGACGTGACTGCCCGCTTTGGTTTTCGCGCAGGCGCACCGGAGCAAGAGCCTGACACAGATCGACTGCCTGGAGGGCGGCCCCAGCGACTCCGGGATGGCGCGCCCGGACGTCGCAGGTGGTAGTCCGCCGTGGCCCGCAGGGAGCCAGGGAGCACCGTCCGTGGACCTCCTGTCGGTGCCGGACGACGGGACGGCCAGGCTCACTCCGACCAGGCCACTGCGCAGCACCGGCAGGGTGAGGCGGCGCGCATCGGTCCACATGGCGCCCGGAAAACATCGGTCTTTGAAACACGTCACGTCCTTAATGTCATCCATCGCTCTGTCTGTGGGTGCCGCCATGTTGAATTTTCTGCGTCACCTATAGACGCTTTACTCAGGCGCCAGAGTACCGCCGCCATTGGCCGACCTTCTCGTAGTCTTGTCTTACCGAGATACCGAGCCACAGAAACGGGCGTTGACGAGCCTCCACAAATGCCAACGCCGAGCAGAAGGACGCAATAAACTCTGATATGGCAATGACCTGGCCTTCAGTGGTAATGATAAAGTGAAGTAAACGGAATAAGGGAAACAAAAACTGACAGTCGGTTATGGCGGCGCCCATGCACAGCTGCTGCAGAGCGTCTGTAGAGGAGGCCAAAGCGGAACACAGGTTGGACATGGATGGATACGTCTAAACCCTTTCAATCGGGCGTCGGATTGCGCCACCTAGCCAAAGCTTTAACTCGGACGATTAACTAACTAGTGTTGTGACAGCGTTCGGCAGCTGCTCGTGTTCAATCGATTAGGAAACGTGTCAAAACCGAACGCAGCACTCGTGTGCAATCCCCGCGTCGGCCTTCTGTAAGTACAGCAGAAAATTCAGCACTATACGGCCTTGCTATGGATATAGCTATACTCACTTTCATCTCAAGAACTGTAGTGAAAAAAGTCCGGCTCCTCGCGGAGCATTACTAATTTCCCCCTTTATGTGGAGAATTAAGGTATATGTAGGGGTATTTTACGTTAGATATACGTTACCTTATCAAGATGCACTGCACACGTTTCAAACGCCGAAAACATCGCTTCTTCCTCCGACGACCAAATCCTGTAAGAACTACTTCGCGAGGAGCATAAATAATGCGCAACACTTCTTTTCTTTTTTTTTTTTATTGACGCCAAAACGAGTATAGTTGGAGTTTTCTCTATCCTCCCGTCCTTTAATTACATCTTACTACCTGTTCTTACCACATGCCATTTTGCTCACCCCAATAATGATGTCGCGGTCGGCGGGGAAGAAAGGGAATGGGTGGACAACAAGTTCTTAGGAATCAACTTGTGCGTATATTTACGGAGAAAAGCAACCAAAGATGAAAGAAATTACCATAAAGAAATGAAATGGTAAATTGCGGCGTAAAAACACGAAAAAAAGAACACAGCTAAACCGTCTCCTCATTTTAGAGTAACTGGTGGCTTCTCCTATATGGCAGAAGGGACGTTTCCGGGTCGATAAGCGTGTGCAGGGCATCGGAGCGATGCCATGGGCTAGGCCGTACGTGGCTGCCGGGCTATACACCTTTTCCACAAGGGCGCAACTATCTTGAATGTCGTCACTTATGGTATGTGTTGAAACATCGTTTTAATGTCTCCACGCCGCTGGAAGGAGTTCGGAAAAAATGCGTGATTGTCACATATTCTATTTTTTACCTCGTCTATATTTTCTCGCATATTTCAGGTTGAAATGGTTTATTATTTTGTCGTCCCGGAAACTAGATGCGTAACCCACATGACTGAGAACAAACCTAAACGAAAACAGCCTATACAGTCGGGTCTAAGGGCGCTGGCACCGTCACCTGGACGCGCCAGGATTCAAACAGCAGCCGTGGCCGCCCGTCGCGGTTTGTTGATCAGCTTCGAATGAATCTTTGATCTCCCGTGCCCGGGCACCCTCACGCGTCTCCATCTCTCCTTCAAAAACGTGACAGATGGAAAGGAACGCTCGACATAACAGTGGCATAACTTTTAGTTTTAACTGGATGTATAACGGCTCTATACAGTGTAACATTTTAACAATCTTTAGTCCCTAGTTTTTTTGTTTTTTTTTGTTTTTTTGCTTTTTTTTGTACGTAAACATTAAGTAAGCTTGTTTCATGTGTACAGGCACTGGTACCGAGCCAAAGCAGTTCCGGTGAGCCACAAGCGTGCGAAAACGGTTATTCCGAAGCATACGGCACATCACGTTGTTCAGGCGTACGGAAACTGAACAGCCCTTGCTACTCTTATTGGGGTTTTCAGTGAAAGGCATCCTTTTACCAAAGAGGTAAAAGACACGTTTTTTTGTCGTTGCGGCATACTTTTATTTAAGCGTATGGAGTAGAACCGACCAACCTGACAGAAGTCATCTGGGACTTAGTCATCCAGTTTAAGTGTGTCTTGCGCGATGTGCTCGTATCGCACTCGAATATAAATTGAGAGAAACCTTCACTTTTTTTTTTTTGGACATGGGCATTCAAAGAGGGCGTCAGCGTTACCGTGGTGTGATCCGGCACGTGCTTGACCTCGAAGTCGGACTGCTTGAGATATGTTCTAGGTAGTGGGTGAACCGAGCCAATGGCGCCTTAAAAGCAGGGAGCCTTTTCGCAGCTCCGTGGTGTGTACATATGCTGAACTTCCACGCAAATAAAGATAGAACTTTTAAGGAGCCTAGAATATAGTGATTGATTCGCGTCGTGGTGTTGCTTTTCCTTCAGCTGATTGATTCTAGTTGTGTTTAGCTTCTACATCGTTTATTGCTATTCTTGTCGTATCCAAAGTTTGCCATAGACTTTCTACAGACTTTCTTTCAACTGAAGTCTATAGAGCGCAGACGAAAGAAATGCTGTAGGATTTTTATACCACGTCTCAATAGAATTTCTGTCGTCGAGCTGAGGCCCATTCTCCTGTTCCAGTGATCGCGGCCAAGACAAATATCCGATTCTTCATGTTCAGTTTTTACGCTAGTCGAACGCGTTAGCGTTTAGGCCTCACATCCCTAGATGCAGCGCACATTTCCAGGTTCTTGAATTTTGCTATTGCGCTGTTTATTTTTACAGAAATTTTTATTTCTTATAGTGTCGAGACCGGTTATAACGAAATAGAGTCTGCAGCGAGGCGATCACGATTTCTCATTCCCTTTCGCGCTTCATTGTAACCGAAGTCGGTTTTAACGAAATAGCGGATATAACGAAGTGATTTCCGATTCCCGTTAACTTCGTTATAACCGGTCTCGACAGTACAAATAATGAAATAACTGACTATCTAGGCAGTTTGGGGACTGAATCGCGTCTTCTTTCCTCATATTTGCGGCGATTTCGTTTAAACCTGGCAATTAGAAAAACGAAACGCAGGTTCTGACAAAAAGTCACAAATCTGGATTAATATGAATAATTATGAATAAAAATATTTTTAATGGCGCTATAAGATGCTAATTTTCTACACATCAAGCTTGAGCATTCCAACCAGGAGCTCGGGAATCACTTGAACGACCTAATCAAGGTGCACGGGATGTTTACAGCTAGATCCTTTGGGACAAGACACACCACAAGAACACTCCGTGTCACATCAGGCAACCTTCTGGCTGGACTAACGTTCCTATAGGCTTGAAATGATGACCGACATTAAACGACATGCTCATCACCATGTTATTTGCCGTAGTCTTCAGAATCCTCGGTAGCATCAAGAAATTGTTCCTCTTCAAAGAGGGGCTGGGTCACGAGAAGATTACGTTCACAAAGTCAAGAGACAAAGCTCGGTTACGCCCATGCACCAGAAACTTAGTCGCTCTCCAGTAACAGTCTGAGGGGTTGCGGAAGTTAGAGACGGCCAAGGTGATTGAAATGAACGATACATTAGAGTGTGTTCCGAGAATCGTCATTGCTTGGGAGAAGACAGGTCGAATTTGACTCTGCGTGGATTTACGAAGACCAAATCAAGCAATCGTCAATGGTCATCCACTTGCACGTACGGAGGAAAAATTTCACCGCCTAAGGCTGATGTTCTTCCCCAAGCTGCTCCTTTCATCGGCTTGCCGTCAGCAGGAGTTAGGGGAGGATAGCAGAAAGCTTACAGCGTTTATAATATATCGCAATCTGTACCGCAAGAGTTCTTTTTTTTTTTGCCTAACCAGCAGCAGCAGCCTTTCCAAGGATGCTGTCAGCAGTACTGCAGGGATTCCGAAACACAGTGGAGTACCTCGATCACATTCTCGTCGCGTGAATATCACAAAAAGACCACGACGAGAGCTTAATGCGAGTCCTATCTCGTTTAGTCGAATAAAATGGGTTGAAACGTAACATACAAAAAATTCACATTTTTGGCCACGGAGTTAGTATGCCTTAGACATTATTTATCCAAAGAAAGTATCAAACCAGCTGAAGAACAATGGACACTACCAGCAAGGCGCCATCCCCTACAGATCTCAAGTCCTTACAGTTCCTTCTCGGACTGGCGCCATATCATTTGAAGCTTGTTTCACACTAAGCAACAGGGGCTGATCCACTCCGTGCCTTGCTACATAAATGGTTTGCTTTTTCGTGGACGATTGACAGCGCGCACGTATTCGAAGACAATAAGAGCCCGATCAAAAACTGTGCTACTCTTCTCTTCTTCACCCTGCACTTCTAACGATCGTTACGAAAGCTGTCTCCAGTTACGGACTGGGTGCTGTCCTACATCCAGAAGATACTCAGTTGACAAACGCTGGCTTGCCTTCGGCCTTGCGAAGGGTGGACAGCGTTCCTTCTTGAGAAGCATTTCCTCCTACGTATAAACCACCAGGTCTTCGTGACCTTACTTTCCAACAGAGTCGATCATAACAGTCGAAATGATTTGGATCATGTTTTAACACGAGCTATTGTTCCAACAGATCCCAATAGAACAACAGATATGCCCAGAAGCCGGAGCATTTGTCCAGTCCACGCCCAAGAAGAAATACGCCACTCTCCAAACAAGCCCTTTTACCGAGAGTCGTGTTGGCCGGGAAAGTATGAGTAGAATGATGGATCGAATAAAGATGTACGTGACACACTGTGACTGGGCTAATCTGCTGCCCGTTCGGTTTCCTACTATACAGCTACATTAGTACACAAAATTAGCGCAATGGACGAACAGAGGAAGAAGCTGTAGATAGGACATCGCTACTTACAACTGACGTTTTATGATAGGATAGAGGAAGACAAAGATAAAGTTGAGATTAAAATCATAGAAAGAGGAGAAGAAAGAATATGCCAGAGAAGGAATGGAAGAAGACGATATCAGAAAATATCTAGAAAAAAGAATAAGGGTGAAGGAAAATAAACATATTAATAAACTACACTAAGAAAAAAAAACTAAAAAGTTTAAAAAGGGAGATTTCTGGGAAAATAAACCTAGGAAAAAATGTGCAGGTACTGTAGTTCCCTCGCACGCATCCACCTGGTTGCTATGACGTGTGCTTCATCTATTTCCCGTGTTCTTTTGTCCACACTTCACAGCAGGATCGTTGTGCAAGAAAACTTGTCAACGAAAGAACTTCATTACCCGCACTATTTTTTTCAATTTTGTTAAATCTTTTTTTATTTTTTATTTTGTTTTTTTATGTATTTTGTTTTTCGCTAGGTTTCGTTTCCTTATGCTTTTTCTTTTTTTCTAGAATTTTTCTGGTATTGCCTTCTTCCTTTCCTTCTCTAGCATAATCTTTCTCCTCCCCTTTTTACGATCTTAACTTCTCTCCTTGGCCAATGAAAAGTATTATTATTATTATTATTATTTAGTGTCAACTTTTCTGATCTTCATCTATCCTCTAATAAAAAGTCAATTGTAAGTAGTGCTCTCTCCTTTCTACTCCTTCCTTCGTTCGTCCATTGTGCTAATTTTGTTCACTATGTTTAACCAACTGGGCTATGAAATTATTTTGATACAACTATGCTTCGTTTCGCATGAAGTCCTGCCGCAGCCAATGCTATACAGTATGCGATAGTGCCGATAAAGCGCCGCCAAGTGCGTCGTCGTGGTGCTGTCGTCTTTATGCGCTTGCAATTCCCGCCCAAAGCAACCACGCATAGAAGAAAGCGCAGGCTCGTGACGCATTCACTGTGCGGGATTGGTTTAGCCCGTGATAGCTAACGCACATAGACAACGGGCACCGTGACGATACACTTTTGGCGGCGCTTCACTGGCTGCATCGGATCGCATAGCGTGGACTGCGGGTGGACTTAAGAGAACACTGCAATCCCCTTCACCCATTTATTAGGCGATTCAATATCGTGTCAGGAGTCAGCCCAATCAGTATTTTGCTGCAGAGTCACGTATATTTTTAATAAATATATATTTAAAAAACTCAACTGCTCGAAACCGAAACCGGAGCACTGAAGCTCATGGCCGGAAGTCACGTGGCTACACCCGACCACGTTTTTTTTTCTCCGTGTTCTTAGGTTGTGGAGCAGACAACGACGACGACGACGAAGTTGCGTGCACCGTTTGTCGTGCACGCACTTATATTCATTCCGCTTGATGTTCTGCGCGTGACGACCGATTAACCGGCACTAGTGCCACTAAATAAGCTACGCTTCCGAGTAACGACACTTGCCCTTGGTATGGCTTAAAATTGTGGTCACCAGTTAACTCAAGGTTTATCTCGAATCACAGGAAACGCTTTTCCCTCTTACACATATGTTTATACAGTTCGCGACAGAAAAAATCTATATTACAAGAGCTTCCTCAGCACCGAATCTAGTGCTGAGGAAGTCGCACTTTTCAAGACGATCGGCAGTTGCGTATGCTCTGCACATGCAAGCACCAAAATGGCGGTGCCCACAAAAACGTTGGGGAACAGAGAGCCGATACTCTAAGCGACAGTTCCCAAGTATAGTGGCTTCACGTCCGTCGCAATATTGGTGCTTCGTGCACCGCCATCGTGTGGTCCACCCCGCGGTACGTTGCCATATTGAGAATGACCCGTAGATGTACTTCTTGTGAACTTTGCAACATTTCTTTTTTTATATTAAAGCATTTGTAGTTTCTTTTGAAACCGCAAAAATGGGGTTCATATTTTTTAAAATTTTTAATAATGGATTTGTGTCTTAGACAACCCACGACTTTTAATATATTTGGTACGCATAGTTTGAACGCCACGTGACCATAGAAACAAGGGTAAACAAGACCGAAACCGACCAATTGTCGACCGGCTGTTTTCGGGCGAAAAAAAAACTAATTTCCAGCCGAAAATGGTGTTCTCGGTAGTTGGGCTCTTGTAGGTCATGTTCAAATAAAAAATCTCGGCGAGACTAAATAGCCGCTTAGTGTTCCTTTAATGTGAAACGGAGTTTTGAAAAACGACTTGGAAATGGCTTCGATCATGGGGAGTTGACATCCTTATGCTCTCTTCGCGCCTCCCGGCCGCGCACGAAATCCTATACACTTTCTAATTGTGCTATTGTTGTGCTGGTATACGTGTAGCTGTAAGCTTTCAATAAGCCACAGAACACCGGCTTATGGCTATAAAGAATGGCACTTTACCGCCCTTAGTATTTGGTCTTGGGGTTTAATCGATTCTACAAGGTTGTTTTGACAACGGCCAGATTTTGGTTCAGCGTTGCTCGTATGACTTGGACTAACTTGGGCCATGTAAGCCGGTCAAAGAACGAGCCGACTCGCATTTGTTCTCACCTGATCCTCTTGTCCCTCAGGTGTCCAGCCAGGAGTTTCTGAGCGTGGCCATCGAAGAGGAGCCGGGAGGGACGCCACAGTGGGAGGTCGTTCGAGCCATCAAGGGAGTGCCTCTACGGTGAGTGGCGCTCGTGGCCCTCGACGCACGCTTGCTGTGAAGGACTCCCTAACTCGCCAAGACGCGGAATTCGCAGCCGTATTACGGGGGCTTATAGAGGAATACGTTTAAATGCGATAGAATTTCTTTTGGCAGGGGGAGAGCGTGACGCGTATGAAGCTTTCATCAAATACTTATTTGCTTTCATTGATTTGAAAAGCTGTCGTCACCAGGCGTCAACCTCTCCCTCTCCTTCACCCTCTCTCCCCGTAGCTGACAAACTGAAAGACAGACACCACCGCCACCGGGTTATCGTCAAAACGAGCCCCTTCTTTTTGTTGAAGTCACGCGCACAGCTGGCATGGAGCCCCAGAAAAGGAGGCACCGCGCAACACACCTTAGATAACAAACCCTTAAAGGGACCATGAAATGACCTTTTTACCGTTGCCAGATAACTTTTACATTTAACCTTCAACGTTCACTGAATGCCGAACGGGCATCCGTTTTCGTCTCGGTTTATTAACTTCTACACAAAAAATAATGAAATATCATTTTTTTCTTTCTCTCCAACAGACCGCAAAACAAGTTGCGGCGTAATTTTGACGGTCGTGACGTACCGTGGAACAGGAACCGGAAGTTCTCTCGGCTGTAGGAGAATGGGAGCGTTAGCGGCGGCGAGTTGGGGGCGCGCCGTTAGGTTTTACTGCGCTGATGGCGCTGATGTCACCGATGTATTTTCTGAATCGTCGCCTCTCATCGCCGCGATAGCCATGGACACATCGCAGCTGAGCGGAATTCAATGAGATATGTTGCGCTACAGCGACAGCATGGGACTAGTCCCATACGCCGGTATGCCTGTTAGGAAGTGCGGCGAGTCTTCCGGTGAAGACTCCAGAAGTCAACCCAACTTTCATTGTTGGTAAAAGGCGGCCCGTGTCAGTCGTTTGCAAAGCGACGTAGATGGAAACAAATTGCCGCGGCGTTTTTCGCGGCCTCGGAGATGCAGGAGCGAGCCGACGTTAAAAAATATACGTTTGCACTACGACAGCGTCAGCAAGAGCCACGTAAATACCAGTTCACACTCGGCAGCACTTCCATCGTTTGGTGGAAGTGCTGTTTTCGCGCTGTTGGTAAGCGCTTCGGGACCGATCTTTCACGATTGCAACTCAATACTGACGTGACACTTGGCAAAGGAAGGTTGGACCGGCATTGCACGTAGCTCCCACGAACTGTTATAGCTTGACAGTGACGTGCAGTCGTGTCAGAATAAAAATGGCATACTATAACAAAGTGTACATACCGTGTTACGAAGGTAATCTATACGGCGTTTATTTGAGCTTTATATCACACAAAACAAGAAGATAGAATCGACGAGTCCCTTTTCGACGACAGTGTTCGTCAACACTGCCTCGGTAAACAAGGGGAAGAGATTGAACTAACCTCTCAATCTAAAATTGAGGTCAGCGATCAAACTATAATACGGGAAGGGTCCACAAGGGTCGCGCGGGCATATTCCATTCAGCACGCCAGCCGCTCGTGGGCAGAGGGTCTTGGCCAAGCACCGCCGAAGCAACGCTGCGCCGGAGTCGGAGTGCCTGCTCCGGAATGCCTGCTAGGCCTATCTGCCGAGCTGGCTTGGTTGCGGGTCGGTGAATTCGTGGCCGTTCTGTCTTTTCTCGGGTGTTTGTGGATCCAGCGTTCTTGTTCGTCGTGGTCTGTTTCAACTACTTTTTCCTTGCTGCTTGAAGCTGGGACGCGCGAGAAGAACACGTAGAAACATAAACGTTCGTTGGTCGTTGCGACCAGTAACTGAGGGACGCTGTCAGCCCTACTGCGCACGCGCAGTAGTTGCTTCATTTACCACAGGCTAGATGGCGCTTGGCTCTCAGCATTATCGAATTCGGCAATTTTCGTCACATCTCTAATTATGCTGCAAAGTGTGGATCTGAATATTATTTAACAAAGCTTTTCGGAAACATTCGCCGGCTATTTATTGTTTACGATCGCAGTGCTGGTGAGGTAGGCTCTTACCCAATAGGCGACGTGGATTCGGCTGACGTGCTGCGATTCCGCGGATGCATCGCACTGAAAAGGCAGAGAGCTTTCGAAGGAAAGAAGGCGCAAAAGAGTCCAGTTTTCTTTTAAAAGTTCTATAGCGAATAATTTTTTTTGGCTCCCTATTTTTTGTGTTTTTGTGTTTCTTTTCACACCTTTTACGACGATCGGTGGATGAAATTCGATTTCAGAATCGTTTCATGGTCCCTTTAAGTGCTGAATGAGATCGCGTCATCAGCGAAGGCCAACGATGGACAGATGGGAAAAGAGTGCCGCATCAGCGCTCGGCTTTGAGTCAAGTTTGAACTTTCAGCCGAACGTAAACGTAATCGCCGTCTCCAATCTGGGCCTAGCGTTTGCCTTCTCTGGTGGCGTCCCCTTATTCAGCACTGCCGCTTTGCCTTCTAGGAGGTGTTGCCCCGCGGCGCGGTGGAATGCGTGCAACCCGCGCGCACAGTGGCCGTTCTGCCTTTGCCAGATTTTCTTCGCTCTGGGTTTCCGTAGTAACGGGAGGTGAACTGTGATGTGTGTGTGTAGTTAAAACTATGGATGCGGTTCCCCCCACGAGTGATACGTATGTGGCTCCTTCCACGAGTGGTATGAATGTGATTCTTTCCACGAGTGATATGGATGGCCGTATCCAAGGACGTCGACGTTCTCTCACAGGCAGAGAGTACGAAAAGAGGGTGGAAAAATTACAGGAAGATCCATTGGTGGATTCTTGGGGAATCCGTAGGTATGAACCTTGAGAAACGCCACAGATGTCACCCTTTGGGAAACGCTAACACTGACCCCGCAACGAGACCAAAAAGTGACAGCAAAAAATGGAAGAAGCAAAAGAGAAAGCCAAACGAAAAAGGTGAAGGGGTCAGCGTTAGCGTTTTCAAAAGGGAGACGTGTGTGGCGTTTCCAAGGCTCATGCTAACGCATATCTTAAGAATCTGCCAATGAATCTTCCTGTACTTTTGTTTTCAAGGTTAAAGGCATTATAGCCAACATTTGAATAGCAGTGGTGCTTTCCTGCCCTATACGTCCTTCTAAAAAAAAGAATGAAAAATCACGCGTTATTGTGATGGGGTTATGATTTTTAGTAATATATTACCCTTTCTATCTTTGCATTAGGGACTCTTTATTCCATACTAACAACAGCAAACATCTATTATTTCATGCAATTTTTTTAGCTTTATCTCGGCTAGCGTCATAGCTACACTTGGGCAGGGCACAGTCAGCACAGCTCAAATTCATTTTTTTTTATCTTTTTTTGCGCGAGTAGGTTGTTTATATACCGTGTCATTGTCGCTCCTATACTCACAAAGCCTGGCAGTTTGACGACGAAGCCATAGAGTGCCCGGTCGCGGATTTGGAGCGCGAGGATCTGGTAGCGCAGAGCATCGAAGAGTCATTTCTCGGGAAACCTTTAAGTCAGTGCACAGCTTTTGCAGTGGCGAGGACCCGAGACACACTTGTTCGCTCGGGAGAAGATGTGTTTCGGCGTCTCGCCACAGCGGGGTGCCAGTCATGTGGCTCTCCTCTCATCCGCTGTTTGCCGCTCCACCTTTTACATTTCGGCGGCCGCTTCTCGTGGCGATCTGCCAGGCTTTGTCTGTATATAGGAGACGATTACCGTATATATATATATATATATATATATATATATATATATATATATATATATATAGGGTGGTCCAAGTCACCAGGCTCGATCTAAAATGGACCGTAAAAATCCACGCCTCCACGTAGCAATCTAAACTTTTCGTCAAAGGTGTATTTCACAGGTTGTTTTTTTCTTGTAAAATTACAAAGCGTAGCTCTTTTTCTGTAAAAAATAAGGTCAAAAAACTTGCCAGGGTCTACGCCGGGCAGCAACGCAGACGACAAAGGTCCAGTAGCGGGATGCGTTTGGCGCTCGTATCGATAAATGGCGCTATCGTTTATAGATGACGTCCTGGACTAATAAGGACCACAATAAATGTTTATTCTCTCTCTCTCTCTCCTTCTCGCGACGGCTCGCGACCACCGTGGTTTATTAAAATAAATATAATCTTTCTGAAATGTAGATTCGGTTAAAAAATAAATGCAAACAATAAAAGCAAAACTTAAAGTAAAAAAAAAAAAAACGCGTCTGCATAACGGCGGCGCTTTTGCTGCCAAGGGATTTCGTCTGCGTGTCGTCTGCTATCTTTCGCTGGTCGGCTGCCCCTTCAGACGCTGCTTCCGACACCATCTATCAATACGAACGCCAAACATACCCCGCTCCTGGACTTGGTCGTCTGAGTCGCCGCCCGGCGTAGACCCTGGCAAGTTTCTTGGCCTTATTTTTTTACTAAAAGAGAACTACGCTTTGCAATTTTACAAGAAAAAACCGACCTGTGAAATACAGATTTGACGAAAAGTTTAGATGGCTACGTGCAGGCGTCGATTTTTACGGTTCAGTTTAGACCGAGCCCGGTGACTTGTAGCACCTTATATATATACCCGATTGACGCCTGATGCTAGGCGCCGAAGAGCTAGGCAACGTAACAACTTTGTTTTGCACACGAATATAAAGACAGTGGTGCTGAGGCGCAAGGATGAACGCTCGCTTACTTTACCTGGTCGCATTATTCGCACGTGACTCTCCCATTTGGAGAAACACTTTCCATATGTAGACGAAAGCATAAAAGCGGAATCTTTGCTGCTAACCCAAACATGTCGGAGAGTTTGATAGACGTGCATTCTCGCTTTCCAACAGATCGTCTTCGCGCTGCGAGAGAGGCTTTTTTATTTGTTCCCCATACTGGCGGGCGACCACTTTTATGAGCGCTGATCATATTCTATTGCGAGTGAGCATAAAATTGAAAAGCACGGCGACTTACATGGTCGAGCTACCAGGACTGAGCACATCAAAATGTCTCTGACATTTAATACATTTTCTAGGACGTGCCCGAAGGTGCAGGTGCGCAAGTACTGAATTTGTGTTTTTATTA